ATGGAACCCAGTTAATAAAGCCGCATACCTGATGTGACAGTGTGGTCCAAAAATACACATTTTTGCCGCACACAAACTCACACACACACTTGCAGGGTGGCGCTTCGAGAGGCCTTTAGAGGGCACTACGCCACTGAGAATAGAGCGGCGGCTAAATGCATCCCCACAGGCCAGTACCTGCTGATTAAACCAAGCTCCTAATGAATCTTTTGATTGCGTGTTAATAATTTCAGTCCAGATTCTGGGATTTTTTTTTTTTTTTTTTGAAAGGTGTGAACCTTGGTGTTCTCTCCGTGGGGCACGTCTGTTTTTATGGGGAAGAGCAATCAACCGGCGCGCCGTAGTCGCTGAGGCTCACGCCGGAGCAATTCGGCGGGTTGGTTAAGGATGGATCTCTGTATTGCAGCCGTGGCGAAGAGGAGAGAGAAAAGCCTAATGAAGTCTGTTAATTCGCTGCTATCAGAATGAAAGTCTCCGACTAATTATGTCCCTGGGTCATCTCGTCTGAATCACAGGAAGAGGTGGCCCTCCATGGTCCACTTTGATTAGCTCGCTCACTACACGGCCGCGCACTTCATTACTGTGATCTCGCACTCACTGGTTTCTACACGCCTACCAACCCTGGGGGGAGGCGGGGGGGGGGCGTGATTGGTCCGAGCGGCTTAATGTCGGGGGCCGACTGAAGTTCAGGACTTTGCTGGATCAGAACCATGCGGCGAGTCAACAGGCGGCTTTGACTGCCCCCCCCCCCCCCCCCCTCTGTGACTGTGGAGTTGACAGATGTGTGGAACGGTGGATTTGTTCACTTGCTGCAGACAGCCAGCCCCCCCCCCTGTGCATCAGCTGTCTCGCAGTGGATTTTGCTTGAGGCGGTGTTGGTGCGTGTGCACGCGTGCCTGCGTGTTTGCACATTGGCTGGCGAGCCCCCCATATTATCCCTGCTACAGAAACTACCCTAATAGCAGTGATTTAAACTTTACCTGCATGAGTGCCTTGATTGGCCGTTGGAAACACCACAGTAATTTAATTACCCGTTTCAAGACTGCTGGCCTGTCAACTTTCCCCCTCACCACGCACTTGTGTATCTGCTTCCTGGGAGGGGAGACGACGGGTTTACCACAACATGCCATGAATAACACGGTCTCATCAGGAGAAGAGTCAGCGGAGAGCGCGATGCCGCCACAGGAAGTCGGATCGTTGGATAAATATTTGATTCGTCCATATATGAACGAACACACACACACACACAGTGTCTCATCTCTCTCACTCAGACCAAGTCACCTAATGATGTCTTAGAATGTATGGGATTATTGGATAATTATTAGTATTCATTGGGTGCATGGTTGTTATTTTTATACGTTATCAATGTCAGGATTTTTTGTGTGTGTGTGTGTGTGTGTGTGTGTATAAAGTGTAAAAGGAATGCACTTCCAGTAAAGCGTTTTTACTGATTAGAATTCCAGCCTGATAAGATGAAGTGCCAGGAGGAGGAGGAGGAGGGTTTTTTGTGGGTGGGGGGGTTTAGGTGTTACTTGCTCGTCTCTGAGGCCTGCCTGTCATGTACAGCATCAGTCATGCTCTTTCACAGCAGTTTTATTTCATCCACCACTCCCTTTAGTGCTTTGAAAGCACAATTCACTGATACTGCCTTGTGGGAAGTGCGGCTGTTTGGGGAGGGGGTTGGAGGACGAGGGTGGGGGTCATATGCGCGCAATGTTTCACATTGCCTTAATTTTGTCAGGCGGCAGAGATCGGATCAAAACCATTCAGTGGGATTATTTTGCTTGAAAGGATAACGTTAAAATTTCTACTTGACACCATTTTTTTTTCTCAAGAAAGACACTACGGCGTTTCCTCTTTTACACCCAGGACTCTTTGTTCTGTTTTTTTTTTTTTTTCCCAGTTCAGCCAAAGACACGATCACAAATTGACACGCTTATTTTGCGGTCCCCCCCTCCAGGTAAAAAATGCTAAGCGTGTCCTTCTCTTCGTCCTCCTCCTCCTCCACATGAAAGGGCTCAAACGGAACACGGGCCGCCCTGTTTTTGCCGCGGCGGAGCAGATCAGCCGTTCAACTGGAGGACTTGACTCTGTGTCGGTCTCTCTTGCGCTGCTCTCTCCCCCGTCGTGTGACGGAGCTCCGCCCCTTTCCCTTCCCCGCGGCATCTCATCCCAACGCCTCGTGATAACTGTGGTTCCAGTCGACGGCTTTGTTCGGAACATCTAGCTGCCGTTTTGTCAACTTTCCTTTTTTTGCCTCTTCTCTTCCTCTGTGTGTCATCTGGCCTCACATCTTGTCATACATACCTACGTTGTGTCCCCCGACTTTCTTCCCTGGCTTTTGCGCCGACCTATGCGCCGCGACTCAGACTCCCCGCGGCGGCGCTCTCACAAGTGTATTCTTATCTTCCTGGGCGATGGCGCGATCCGATATCTACAACAGCCGCTGTGCCATCTGATTGATTAACCAGTGACCTCTGACCCCCGCACCCCACCGCGGGACATTTTAATTGGCCGAGGTATAATGAGCAGGTTTTCCCTGAAGAACCATGGTTTTAAGGCCAAAGAGATGGGGGGGGGGGGGGGCGATGCTGGGAGCGGGCGATCTAATTAGCTGATTTAACTGATAACACCTGAGGTAGTGTGTGCTGTGTGTGTGTGTGTGTGTGTGTGCGCGCGCGCGCAAAACGTTGTGTCCTATCACTATCTCCTGTGCGATGGAGATGGATGCAGCCCCTGCAGTAATATGTGAGACTGATTTCATGGATTATACGACCCAGCCAAGTCTGTTTATATGCACTGCAACAAGGTGCTTAATGCGCTGCTGCGGTGTGCTTCCTTGTGTGTCTGAGAAAGTGTAGGTGGAATAAATGAGATTCTGTGAAGCTATAAGTTATGACGAGGAGATCAATATGACATCTTAATGCAGTAAGCAGGAGGCTTTGGAGGGTCGACTCCTTATGTTGCATCCTAATACCCAATAACGTCAAATGCAAGATTATACTCCCGTAAGAATAAATACTTGATTTATTTATGCAGATAAATGGTGACAACTTGGTTTCTCTTTTAGTATTTATTTATGCATTTATAATTGGACATGCTTTCCTGTATTTGTTTTCACTATCTTGAGCCTGTGCTGATCTGCCCTCAGCAGACAATCTAAAGGGCCTTGCATCACCACTTGTTCAACATATTTACTCAAGTAGGTGGAGGGCTGCAGAAATGAGAAGGGCTTCTATTGAATTGGCAGATGATGCAAAGTGACAGCCGTCCTTCATGCCTGTTTGGAGCAACTTGTTTATTCTGTCAGTCTGGATCGTTTTGTACCCGTCGTTTTAAAAATGGAAACCTCATTTTTTCTGTTAGCGACACAAAAGGGTGGAAACTGATTAAGCTTGTAAATACAGTATACGCTATTTTGTTTCAACGCTTGAGTGAATCTGAGAGTAAAGCACTTTGCAGTAATTTAGATGAGATATATGTCTTATTGCTGCTTTGCTATAAAAGTTTTGTTTTTGTAAGCATACGCCCACATATAACCCATTACTGACATCTTTGCAACATTTATAGGACAACAACAAGTTGTTGATGAATCTAACATTTGTTTGAGACGGCCAATCACAATTTTCCCCAAAGGGGACATATTCAATTTAGTTATGTCAGAAACGCTAAGCTAGTGCATTTACCATTTATTGATGACATTTCCTTTTTACTTAAATCCATTAATATCACATATCAAAAGAATAGCTACAGCCCGATAGATTTATCAACTTACCATTCCAGTTCTTGACCAGTTGAAAATGTGCCACGTACGTCTGCTTATGTGTTTGTAATCACAGAAAAAGATTTTTTGGGGGGGTTAGCGCCTGCGCTTCAGGCTGCGGTGGCCATGGTGCGCTCTTGTGAAAAATGCATTCTCATCTCTTCATTCTCCCCCGTGTTCCCTTTCCCGGTTGTGCACATTTCCCGTTGTCCTCCTTGTTTGTTCTTTTCTCCTCTCTCATGCATTGAAAGACTGTGAGGAGAGTGTTCCAACAGAGGAGCCACGTAAGTTGAAGGATAGCTCTCTCTCTCTCTGTGCTTGTGGACATGCTTACATTCTTTTTCCGCCGGAGCTCCCAGCGTACCTCTTTACTTTTTAATTAGATACAGGATCCCTGACAGAAGAAGACCAAGCCCATGTGGAACAGTAGAAATACCTTTCCTGTGGATTGACCCCTCTCCTCTCGCCATACACACCATAATTACAGCGCCAGACAATTACCCAGCGTGCTCCTGGGATACACATTTTGTACTCTTAATCTGGTGTCTTAAATAATTAAAAACCAACCATGAAGCGCTGCAGTTTAAGATGGGTGTGCGTGTGCGCATATCTACGTGTGTTGTTGGTTGTTTTGTTGTTGTTCGTAAAGCAGACCTCTCCTGTCTACCGTCGGCACACAAGCCCACCCACCTGGCTCCGTGTGACCCGGAACGGATTTACCCCTCACCTGTAACCTGATTACTTTGCCTGCAACATTGTGTTTACCGAGCAGCCGTGCCTCACCCATTGCCGTACTCCGTCAGCGGTGTGATCACGGCGCTTTCCCATAATCCCCTTCTCCATGCTGCTCTCGCGGCGAGGCATTCTGTCTTGGCAGTCTGTGTCGTTAATCGTTTGGAGAGATATGTAAACACGCAAACAAAAGGGAATGCAAAAAGAAAGGGGCATAAATAATTTTTCTGGTTCATTTTAAACATTTCAGCGTCTGTGAAATGTCTGCATAATTTAACTCTATGAACAAATAAAAAGAAACTGGGCAATTTCAACATTGCAGCCACTGTCGCCCCGTCCTCATGTTGTACCTGAACCGCTGGAAGAAAGATATGCAAATACCATAATCTCCCCTCTGTCTACATCTGTGTACCATACAAGAGTCAGGCGTGCAGGGAAGCGCATGCATCTGTGTGAGTATAACCTCCGTGTGCTGATAGTAATTGAGTGTTTCTGTCTTCATCAGCCAAAAAAGAAGAGGAGGATCTGGAGGATAAGAAATCCATAAAAAAGAGAATCAAAGAGCTCAAGGTGCTGGATCCCAAGATTGCACAGAATCTTTGTAAGTGTTTGTTTCCTCTCAGCTCTCACTATACGCTTTTCTCTCACTTTTTCCCCTTTCTTTCGGCTTAAGTCATCTTCCGTATCCCTCATTATATGTTCCTTTCCAGTTTAGAAAGTGACACGCAATGGAGACTTTTGGCAGGGAATGAATTTTACCCTCCCTGGTCGCTATAGCAATTAAAGCGAAACAATACTTGGCCAGTGCTACCTGTGACTGATGTCTTCTAAAGCCGAGCTAATTATCAAAGCTAAGCACCCATTGAGGGGAGGAGGGGGAGGCAAAATGCTCCCACACACTTTCTGTCCTAAAATGACCGTTTCTAAAAGCACACGGCATTAATGGGGATCCAGCTGATCTCTTAAGCACTCCCGGATTTTAGCACCTCATTGGCTTGTATCAAGGGGAGCTGTGACCTTTGTTTCATGTATTAAAAGAAAATGAGACTAATCAGCCCAGTAACGGTGATAAATCACGCAGTGGAAATTATAGAGCAGGAAGGAGAAAAAAGAAAAAGACAGAGTAGGCGCTTAATGCCACCATAGGCGGTAAAGACTCTAAAAGCTTTGATTTGAGTCTGGGAAATGAGTATGTATGTGGGATTGTAATGCTGGTGCGAATATATTTTATGTAACTGGTTAGAATTCAATTTTAGCACTAGAGTTACACTGCTCACCTATTCCACATTTAGACTCATGTTACCAGGAAAAAGAAAGACCAGGTACACAGTCAGATCTCCACTGAATGAATGCAAAAAGTTTTTTTTATTTTGAATAATTTGATTACTGGCTACCCCCAACTTTGACCCAGGGCTAGTGGTGTAACGGATGTCACAGATTGACCCATGTTCCCACCACAGCGTGATTGCGGCCTCGAGTGCACCAGCTCTTGCCGACGGTTCTCAGCTTGTTGGGGAAAAAAAATGAAGTCCGAAGTGAAATTTGGAAGTACTTTGGCCAATTTTCCTAGCCGCGTGTAATCTGTGCTACGCTATGTGTGATCCCATCTCTAACTCGACATGTGTGATCCCAACTGCACCGTGAGGTTTGTGATCCGTTGCACCCCGCGACCAAGGACACGTCCTTGGTTACCAGTAGCAATGCTTTTAATGCTGATTTAAGGCTGAATCCCTCAATATGCTACATATTACATAATCCTATAACGTTATCAACAAATACCTTCAGGTGTCCAGATAACCTTCAAAGTCTTTCATCAGATGGCACCTCTGGCTTCACTAATGACTTATCCTGACGAGGCATTTGCATTCATTCCCTCGTGGTGCCACGTGCTTGATGACCTCATGCTCGCTAAACCACTTTTTATAGAGCAGCTTGATGTCTGTGCAACTGCACAAACTGATGAAGAATTAACTTAATTTTCCTCTTGGTTCCTACATCACGTTCTTCATGAGTCCTTGAGCTGTTCTTTTTTGTTTCACACCATTATTCGTCATTTATTCAGGTTTCATTATTATGTTAGTCGTTATAATATTAGAATAATACCTGTAATTGCTGGTAAATTGTATTCTTATTTACCATAACATTTGCTGTGTTTTTTGTGTTTCTTTTCAGCCATCTTCCTGGGTTCCTTCCGTATGCCTTACCAGGAAATCCGTCGGATGATAGTGGAGGTCGATGAGGAGCAGCTCACTGAACCCATGATCCAGGTTGTCCAACAATTGCGTGCAGTTGTAAAATGTAGTACTTCATTGATTTTTATATTAATTAGTATTGATGAGAATGTTTAATACAAAATAATTGAAAAAGAATAAAAAGTACATAAGAACAGATTAAAAGCCAATTTGTGAAATACATCCTTTTTTTGCAAGATGGCACTGAAATGGTTTAACAGTATTCCAATAGAATGACTTTCAGATGTTTTAAGCGCTGGAAGCAAATTAACTCTCACAACCGGTCTCCAGCCGGACCCGACCGGCGAGCAGACCTTCGGTTCCGAAGAGGAGTGTAAGGGCCGAGAAGGTGGACAGTGTAGGACGGGTCAAATAAGTAATGTCCCTTTAGAATCCTTTGCAAAGGACACAGGTGGCTGCTGCAGGCCGGGAGGGAAAAAGGTCCTCGTGTTTTAGTTACAAGCTGAATGCTGTCAGTTTATAGTTTCAGGAATAACAGTAGTATATTAGTTTGATGGTGGCAAAAAAAAAGGTGGTTGTTGATTTGGGGGTTTTGGATGAATCAACTGGTTGACCTGAAACAAATGCAACAAACAACAAATTAAGTCATCCAGTCAAATTTCATTAAAGGCGCGTAATACAAGTTGCAATATTTTTTTTTACTCCAGGCATCGGTAACAGATTTTTAACACACTTTGAATGCAGAAGTCCAACATATTTATCTCATAGTAGCAGTTTTTGGTGGAGATGGCTGTTAAATTCATAGAACATGTTTAAATAATTGAACATTTATTCCTTTTGGTTGTCTATAAAACCAATTGCTTTCAATTGTCTTTACGTATATACGGCCCCAAGATTTCTGTTTCATAGTAAAATCCATTGTATTGCAGTTGAAAAACTTTATTCTCTCTGAAACTAGTCAACAGGGCTGACAGGTACCGGAGCATGCAGCGGTAGGTTTGATTTCCCAAACAAGCCCAGTATCTAAATTAAATTCAAAGAAAAACACCACATTGCTCCGAACGGACTGAGGGAAACGACCTCCCTGCTAGAGCCAGATACAGCCCATCCCCGGAAGGCAAACGGCTTCATTTTCGTTCACTGTAAATCGTTATAGAAATCATATACATGGTAAATAAGTTGAAACCCTGAAAATGAGAATTTATAACTGCTTACTAACTGTAAGGAATATTTAAGGAAATGCATGCTTGTTGCTCTTTGTTTCTGCTTGCCTCCATTTTGTTTCTGACCCGGTTTCTTCCTCGCCCTTCTTTGTAGAACCTTGTGAATCACCTACCGGAGCAGGAGCAGCTCAACGCCCTGGCCAAGTATAAAAATGATTATGCGAGTTTGTCTGAGCCTGAGCAGTTTGGGATTGTGGTGAGTACACACACACACACACACACACACACACACACGCACTTCGTAACTCTCCACCAGCTGTTGACAGCGCTTGATATGGTTTAACAGATCATTATTATCGGCATACAGTTTTCCTGAAACTGGGTTTACTACTGTATAGATTTCATAGAAATGTAAATTATCTTTGCATTGCATCTTTCTTTCTCTCTCCCACGAACACACATACACAAGCGCAGCACTTTCATATGAGTATCCTAAATCCAAATCCATGGCTTCTTAAAATTCAATCTTTTAAAGCCCTAAGAGGAACGGCGGGACACCTGTAGACCCGCGCACTAATTTATGCACATTAAAGAGCACCACTGCTGTCTAATTATGTCAGCACCGTTTTCTTAAAGACTTTTCAAAGGAGCTTTATTCAGATTTATGCATGAGGAGTGTTGAGCTTTTTGTGCTTCTGCATGGCGGCAATGGTACTGACAAAACATGGAATAAACTTCCTCTTTTTGCCCACCTCTTTAGTAAACACTTATGAAAGGCAATCTTATCACCCAATGAAAATGCAGGGACTGAGTGGTTGATGGGGGGGGGGGGGGGGAGAGCATGCTCACCTGTTGTGTATGGGTCATCCGGGGAACGTAGAACAAAGAGGAGCCCGTTAATATAATAGTGGTTCACTTCTATGCCTGCGTGGGCTCAAGGAGGCCTGTGTGCTTTCACCTATCTAAAAGGCTCTGGTTCAAAGGGAATTTTTAATTTACCAGTGTGCAAACACAAGCGTTTTATATATTTGTTTATTTTTTCATTCTGTGCCACGTCGTCCATGCTTGATTTGATCTTTGGATAGATCTAATTTGTATTGTTGAGATTTTGACCGTTCTTGCATTGGAGACTAATGTATGTTTGGTGCTCCTGTTTTTGTAAATGACTAAATTTAATGTGTGAAGGCAGAAACCAGAAAAAGGAAAATGTCCTTGACCTAGTCAACTGTATGTGTCAAGGTAGCTGTGAAAGCTGCATGTCAGTTATGGTTGATGACTTCCAAAGATCATTTCATCCCCTGAAATCTAAGGACTCGCACTGTTTAACAGCATGCACATCCTGCGGTCACAGACCTTATGAGGGCCACTACTTTGAATCAAAGTCCTACATCTAGGATTTCAATAGTTTTTACATGCCGCAAGGACACACTGTTGTTTCCCAAAATATTTTCCACAATAATATCTTTATTTATTCTAGGTTGCGGAATTTCACTTTTGGAGTCCAATATCTAATCAACAGTTGATCAACGGAAGCGTGTTTTCCCCCTCACCATCACACCTCATTGCATTCTGACTGCAACCCACCAGGCATTACATATATTCTATAACTTCTTCTTTTTAGAGTCAATTTTGCTCTGAATCTGACTCCTTTGCAGCTGAACACAGTCACTTTGAAGATCCTCTCGCTTTCTTCCCCAGATTATTTTTCCCTCTCGTCTACAATGTCCACATCACGTCGTTTATCCCATCTCCGTGCTCCATTTCAGCATCATTTTTGGTTTCTAAAAACCTTGCTCCTTCTTAATTTTGTCATATTCTCTGTGGCCCGCGCTTCCTCTTTCCTTTACTCACATACACACACACACACACACAAATCCATACTGAATCTCACTTTCTCTCACTCACTGACTGAAATAGTCATTTGATAACATTACAGTAGCTATAATTAAACCCTTGATGGAGGACATCAAACCCGCATGGCCAGCTGTTGTGTGAGACAGACAATCGGAACTTGCGCCCCACCCCCTCCACCACACGTACACACACATACACATCACTGTTGTGGCCTTGGGCCTTGGGCCCAATGCAATATTTTCCAATTTTCTCTAATTGTGTAAGAGTGGTAATCCAAGGCAGCCTATTGTATATTCCACCCCCTCTGCTGCCTGGCTATATGGACACTGACTCCACAATTAACTTACCAGACCTGGGCCCCAAATCAATTCAGTGCCAGCATCCATTACGACTGCCTAGCAACACTTTCCAGCATGCCGGCTGCGTAGATGTCTTTTCGATTAGATCGGCTCTATGTGAGGCCGTGCCTAAAGTTTGATTGTAGTTATTTTAAGTTTGACTATGTTCCGTGACTTTGTTCTCTCCTTGACACAATTCTCTCGGCTCTCGCTTTATTCATCTCCTGCTTCTATCGTCTTCATTCTACCACTCTCCTTTTTAACAAATCACTCTCCTCTGTCGTGCCTCCATCACCCCCCCCTCCTTCCAGATGAGCGGCGTGAAGCGGCTGCGTCCTCGCCTCAGCCACGTCCTCTTCCGCCTGCAGTTTGAGGAGCAGGTCAACAACCTGCGTCCAGATATCCTGGCTGTAAACGCCGCCTGCGATGAGGTCAGGAAGAGCCGCGCCTTTGGCCGCCTGCTGGAGCTGGTGCTGCTGCTGGGGAATTACATGAACGCCGGCTCCCGAAATGCTCAGTCGTACGGCTTTGACCTCAGCTCCCTCTGCAAGGTGAGCAGGTTTGAGATGCTGACCGTACCGACCACTTACACAGTGTGCGGCCCTTAATTAATTAGTGGCAGGGGTTCAACATGAGTGATGCATGTTTTATAGATTTTACACAGCTGTGTTTGTAGATTGTAGCAGCAACATTAATTGAATATAAAAAAATGGAAAAGGAAAGCTGCCAGTTTCTTCTCATTTTATCCTTGTGTTAAAATTCTATTTGAGTGTGGCCGAATGTTTCACAGACATTCTTAGCCTCCATGTGTATTCTAGTTAGTGCTTTTTCTTTTCCCTTTCTTTTATGTTACCTTAGCTTTGATTGGACATGTTGGAAACTCACTTAAATGTAGACCCCAAGAAGAGGCTTCTTGCCTCTCTATACTGGCATCCATCAAAGCAGCCGAACCCAGAGTACATCCTTCTCATTCTCCGGCTCCGAATGGATAACCGAGGCAACAGCCAGAGTCCCTTTTGAAAAAAGCCTTTGCACCCGTCAGGACTACACCGGCTTTGTGGGTCAGCGGCACAGCAAATAGCTGCACCTCTGGGTTTTAAATGGCACGAGGACAGAGGACTAAGCTTCCTTTTATGGTAGTGGTGTTGTGAACGGCGTGTAAGCCAAGTATAGAGGCACCTCCAGTGGTTACATACAGCGGCCGTTTCCACAGTAACGATTCGTCACTGCCACCCCCTGTGCCCTGTTGGACTCGGAACTTGTGCTGACGGATGGGATGTCATTAGCGTGGTCACTTGTCAACTCGTATGAGTCTATGAAGGGGTACGTTTTGCGTTCATCACATTTGTAGCATCTTCATGCCGACGTGTTGCGGACCGATGCGTGCGTTGATGTCTGAGGCAGGATATAAAGGGAAAGACATCACAACCGCCCCCCCCCCCCACCACCACCACCCCCCCGAGTCAGACCACTTAATTCCACGGCACAGGAAAGTTGTACCCGGCCCTACCGGAAAAATGTAAATGTTTACATTGTCAACATTGATTACCATCCATCTAAATTCAGAGAGGGACCTTTTGTGAACAAGCACTTTTGAAAAAAAAAATTGCAAACCAGAAATGAAAAGAGCGATGAGAATGTTTGATTAGAGGAGATAATACAAACATGATTAAACCCAGCAGGGCTGAGTGTGCTGCTGTCTACCAATAGATCACATAGAGTGATACACAGCAACGCACTCCACAGGAGGGATGTTTGGCGAGGATACTGAGAGACGTCCTGAAATTAGACTGTGAGAGAGTGATGATGGAAATTTATCAGAAAGTTAAAAATTGTGTGTTTGAGGGGGAGGGAGGAGAGATCATCACGTTGTGCATACGAGTGTGCTGCTTGAATAGAAGACATGAAATCATCAGTGGTTCTGTCAACATGCATAGAGCCACAAAGAGGCCGTCGAGCATCTGAATGCAGCACACGTAACATCCTGTTGATGCGGTTATAGAACAAAAAATGTCTTTACATGCTACAGCCTAGAAATACTAAGTTGCTTTGTCTATGGTCCTCTTTTTAGTGAGCAAATCAAATAAAAATCTAATCAAATTTTTAGTCCCATGATTGAGCCCATGGTTTAGCCTTAATTGGACAAAATATCAATCTGGTAAGGTGGCGACCTAATTTCAACACAGCCAATCAAACTGTAAGCAGCAGAAATGTCATCAAATGTCATCGTTGGCAGGGCAAACGGTTCCACGGGGGAAAACAAACTACCCACCCTCGCTTTGCTTTTAGAGTCTCCTTATCTAATCTATTTACTGTAAAGCTCTATTAATCCGACTGCTCAGCCGCACATTAAACTGCAAATGTCACTTTGGTCCAGGTAGAGGCTGGTGGCGTCCGCCGCCCTTCGGTACAGACATCAACTCGCCGTCTGCAGGCTACCGCCTGAGTGGTTACTTTGTCTCTTGTTGCCGACGGCTCTCTGGCAGCCTGCCTGCTGCTGGCGCGTGCACGCGTGCACGCGTGCACGCACACGCACACGCACACACACACACACACACGGCCTTCCTCGGCCTGTGTGATTAAGGTAAAACCTGGGACATTTAAGGGAAATCCAAGGAACTACGTAGTGCCAAATGTGTAATAACAGTGTCCCTAATCAGAGCTTTTTCTTTTTCTTACCCAGTAAGACTAATGGAACTGAAATGCATCTATTGACCATCATTCGTTTGTCTGTAACTTTGTTCATATGTTTTATGACAGCTAAAGGACACAAAGTCAGCAGACCAAAAGACCACGTTACTCCACTTCCTGGCACAAGTATGCGAGGAGGAATTTCCAGACGTGATCAAGTTTGTTGACGACCTGAAGCATGTGGACCGATCGAGCCGAGGTAATGTTGATTATTGCCCCTCTGCACACAAATGCACAAAGGGGAATTTCTTTGGTTTACAAAGTGATCTTTAATTGTGACTTTTTTCAATCACGAAGCACTCAAGGAATAGCCAACTGGTCATACAAAGGCTGAATTAGTGAAGTAAAGGAGAAGAGGGACATTTCTTTGAGCAAAAAAACACAAAAAACGATTTGAGTTAAAGGTCTGTTATGTGTTTTTCCTTTTAACATGCTTTTTAGGCAGCGTGAGAGCAATACAATTTTGTGTGTGTGTGTGTGTGTGTATATATATGTATATGTATATATATATATATATATATATATACATATGCGCATTGTGTTTGATGGCGGCTATTAAGGGCCATCATCTGACACACAAACTAGGGATGGCATGAACATTTACACGGTTTTTCAGGATGAGAAAGGTCAGCCTAATGGAACAGTAATGAGCTGTGTGGGCTGTCTAGTTAAATAAGCTACTCATTGCATTCACCTTTTGCTACGTTAATGTTGCGTCATGTAAAGTCCGTTAACTCTTGAGATCCATCCAGGTCCAGATCGCCGCGCACTGTTCACCTCCGACATGACGAGGACCTTCAGTCACAGAAATCCTATTTGACTAACGCAAATTAAAAATAATGTTTTTTTTTTTGTTTTGTTTTTACTAATTTGACTAATAATTGCTTGTTTTGACTGCATTTGAATGAAGCTTAATGCATAAAACAAAATGACCCACATTTGACGGAAATGGAGCGCACTCTCCTTCTACTTGTGTAGCTCCCCGGGGACTGCTCTGGGATTAGATGCGTGTTGATTCAGTAAACACTCATTGTACTTCACCAGTTTAGCGTTTGATCTATGCTGCACTCCGCCCGTCTGCACCTCTGTGTCGACGCTCTCATTAATCTCTTGCTGTTGCACGTTTGCCGGAGTTACGGCTTCATTTTTCAAGAGAATACTTCGACTGCTCAGATGAAGAGCAATAGCCTGTTTGAATGTAGTTTAAGATCCCGCGTTGCCATGACGCGATCTTTTGCATTTCACGCGTAGGCACGCGCACGCACACACACGTACGCACACAGCAAAAAAGTTACATGCAGTTGTGCGTTTTTTCTGCGGTATCCATACAGAGGTAAAGGTCTTAGGCGAGCGCGGACAGGCTGGGCGGTCAGAGGAGACTCGGCCACACTGTTTGTATTGCCATAGGCAACCGTCAGCTGGAAGTAATGTGTTGGTCTGTGCACAGTGCGTGTGTGTGTTCGTGTGGACCTATTATCTGCAGCCGTATTCCAGGTGTGACAGTCACAGCGTGTGCCTTGTTGCTCGAGAGATGATTTTCCCCATGCCGCCAAGCAGGAGGAGACCAAGGAAAGGGCGAGCAGGCAAACGGCCGGGATGAAATGTGTGGCTTTAATGTGCGGACTCTTCCTTCGAAAAGGTCCCCTCAAGGTTTTGCCGGCGCTTTCGTAATCTGCGGATAACCATGCTCCTGTTGAGTGTTTCATTTCGTTCTCCGGCTGTGCTGCGGCTCCACAAGCCCTCGGTCGAGGGCCTCGCGAGTACAAGGGCGAGATCAATTGAAGGCACAATCCTTGGATCTCTCTTCAAGCTTCGAGCGTCGTCCACCTCCTCCTCTCGTGGGCCTCAAGCCGCCTGCATTTGGATCCTAAAGGTGCAGCGTTATCTCTCAATCACCGTCTTTCCCCGTGCGTGTCAGTTGCATTACGAGATGCAAGCACTAAGTGGCTCATTTCCCCGTATTGAGTTTTCAGACACATCTATTGCAAACCATGCTGCTTTTTCACCAGCCCTGACTGACGTTCGGAAGGCCTGCAGAGGCACTGAAAGACTGTGTTGCATTCATACACACTAACTAAAGGACTTACTTGAGCATGAAACACGGGTAGAGGAAGCCATAATGATTTGCGCTTTCAGTTTGCAAAAGCTGCTGTCTTTAGACTGTGTGTGTAACGCAGCCTCCGTTTCCCCCATCGCCAGTCACGTCTCTCGTGGAAGCAAAACTGCAGCTTAGTTGAGGGTTCCTTTGTGTCTGCTTCTCTGTGCCCCTCTCGTCTTTTCAGCACGCCAGTCATTATTTTCCCCCGACATGGGAAAGCAGCCTCTCTCGGTCTCTCTCTCTCTCCCGCACTCAGTGTATCTGATTATTTCTCTCAATATCCGTCTGTGTTTTGTGTGTGTCTGTCTGTTTTTTGGTCTATTAATCCTGTCGCCTGTCCCGTTTCCCTCCTGTTTTTTCTTTGCGAAACACTCGCTCCCTCACACACAGAAGCACACGCGCCCGACGCACAGCTGTCAGGTTTTGAGCAATTAGGGCGGTTTGTTTATGCGGTGCTTCCTGCCGAGGATGATGTCGAAATCAGACAAATACAGAGACATATTAATGCGCTCAATCAGGCTTCTTCAGCTCGTAGATCTTCAAGCACTACTTCTCGGCGGCAGAATTCCTACTTACTTGGGACGCTAGATAGACCTGTCTGCATACGTTTTGGTTTCTCAAGGACTGGGAGGCTGGCGGCCCCGAGTAGTCATCAAGGAGGATTCAATGAAATGGAGATTGTTGCTTTATTATGCCGCCTGAGCCTTGCTTTGCCTTTGCTCTTTTTGCATTTACAGTATAAGGCACTCAGCGTGGGGGGGGGGGGGGGCATCGCCGGTTCCCAGCCGTGGGCACCATCAGCCTGTCACACGTGTCAGGCTTTGGCCTCCGCAGGCGGATCTGCATTTTTTTTTTCCCTCAGTCCCATCATTTCCATACATCAAAGGATGATGCAGAGCGGAGCTCCCTGTGGTTGTGTGTTCCACTCGGTCTCTTTTATAGGACAGCAGGTTGGCAGTGTAATAAAAGGGATGTTGATTGGGGCGGACTTGACCCCTACAAATATTCCAATTCTTCTTCTGAAACATCCAATATCTGTCTGCAACCCCTGCTGGACCACCGGGGCGTTCAGGCCCCGCTGCTAATAAAATCACTCATGCTTTAAACCACAAAACGGGAAGGCGAGAGCAGGGTGGCCGAGACAGACGGGGAAACCCGCTCTTCTGCTTGTCACCGTACCACGCAGCAATTATTTTGCAAACTCCTAAGCCGACTGTGACAGATGCGCGTCTGCACGCGGCGCCGGCATCATCTGCTTTCGAACGCGTCGCTGTGTGTTAAACAAAACGTTCCAGCTGTTCCACTCCTGATCAGTCCCAGGCAGATTTTCACCTGAAGCACGTTGTCACCTGTGTAGAAGGTAGAGCGGCACCAGAGCCGCAGGGGACAACTGCTGCTGCTGCTGCCTGTACGCCTGCCTTTAGACGGCAGGCGTACAGGGCATTCGGTCCTGGCTCCCCGGGCGCCATTCAATAATTAATGTGCTATAACACCTAACCCTTTCCTTTGATCCCTGACCTGACAGTTGTAGGAGAAGATAACCCCACTCTAGAGAGTCACCTCTTTTAAATCAGGGGCTCTACGGTGAAATAGAGAAAAACATGTATTCTATTAACCCTAATGAGACAGCATAAGTGAATGCAAATATAACGGTCTCTTAACAGTGTGCTAGTAGCTTTTCTCAGTAAACCACACTCAATACAAAAGGCGAATAAAAAATAAATACGATTAGTCTTGCCCCTTTCATATTAACTCGTTACAAATAACCGGCCCTTTTTTAATATCACCTAACATGATACCATGTGGTCCTTACATGGACGCTGCAAATACCAGATACAAATCTAATGAATATAAAATATGTCGGAACACAAATCAGTACAAGCTGATTTGAAGTAACCTGCCTCGAAGGCGTTCTGCTCCTCTGGTGCGCAGCTGCTCCGCTGATTGGCTGAGATCAGGCATATGGCACCGATATGAAAGTGGAGTCAATAAATTCTTTTTTTTAATGTGCTTCATTGTTTATTCTTGTTTTTCACACAATTTAATGTCTTGTCTGTGTCAGGTGGCTCTCTACCTTGAAGAGCATCATTAGCAAAAAGCTTGCAGCTTGTATTGTGAAGGCAGGGAGAGGAGAACAGTCTCCCTTTCGCTCTCTCCTCTTGCTCTTTTCTCAGTCAGTGCAACTCTGGGCTTTAATCACTTCTATTAACCGAATGCCTCGTTTCTCTTCTGCATGCTGCCCACACCTCATTCAGCAGATTCACGTTGCTTGGTAATGCAGGAGACTTTCACAACAAAAGCTATTATTGAAATAGAAATAAATTTACTTTTAAATTACAAATCATATCGGGCATCGGTCAGTTGTTTGGAAATCATTGATGATCTATTAAAATATCTATCATTCTGAGTGAATGTAGCAGGGCTGCGAATCTTTTTCTTATCTCTTTGGCTTTTGTCCAATAAACAAACTATAAACAAAACGTTCACGGACCGCTTAGCTCCGGGTTAATGGCACACACCCAGATGAATGAGTAAATAGTACGGATCCAGCAGAGATGAAATGCAACCTCCTGAGAGCAGGTCACCTCCATCTTTTGAAATATGTGGCTGGGCATTACACATTTCACCTTTTAGCTCTATGCCCCTGCTGAGTCTCTTCCTATTGGCTCGCATTGTTCCTAAATACAGAAATGTAAAGGTGAAATCTGTCAACTCAAACAGGCTTCCATTCCCTGTCACGGTCGGCGGGGTGATTTCCTAGTAAGGGGTTAGTGAATGCCGCTCTGATTGAGACGTCATTGGTCCGTCTGTGGCAAAAGGAACGGTGGGCCGGGAAAATTCCACTGCCCAATTCTAAGGACAAGGAAAGCATGCTTTCAGTCAAAATACCTAACGTGATTACTCGTCAGGTACAGGCGGAGCAGCTGGGCTGTGCTTATTGTTGGATGAGTGATTCTTTGTTAATGCACTGAGTTGGGTCCTCCCTTTCAATCATGAGTGATGGGTGAATGAAAAGGGCCACCTGTCTTTTCCCCTTCAGCCAGCAGAATTGCATCGTGATTCTATATTCAAGTGCTCACCCGCACTCGCTGTTACGAGACGGCACTCAGACTCCATTCGAAACTGCAGATTTTGGGATACCGCAGACTCATTCCTTACAATATTTGTGTGTTTTGCAGAGTCCACGACATTTTGTTCCCATCAGTCAGTGTGTTTATGCTATGAATTCGGGGAGAAGCTTAGCTACATTGAAGTTCTCCCTTTCCCTTTTTTTGCCTCTTTTTTCGTAAAGCATGTATTAGGATCAAGGGACATTTGAAAGTACTTAAAAATAAGCAGCTTATGCCTTTTTGTCAAGCAGGGTCTAATCAGGGTAATTTAAGCCATATGCTATATTCAGTCACTAGCTTAACGTGTCAGGCATGACCAACTTAACAGAAAGTTAGGCTCAGCGTCGTCGCCCCCCCTGCTCTCCCACCTGCACGATCCACGGACCTGTTGACAACACCAAAGACACTGGCTCTGTGTTACTGACAATAACGGGTTTTTACACGCCCTAAAATAAGCGTGTCCGTAAGGGCATGTGTAAGAATTTAATGGTTTAGGACACACGCGTGCGGATATAAGCGGCAAACGGAATAATAAAAAGCAGTGTATTGAACGTGCCTTCGCTTGGTGTTTATTTTTTACTCCGTCATTGTTTATTCCCGTGGTGTTCCTGGCACAGTGTGAACTCATAATAACCGTGCTTTGCTTCTGAGCCGCCGCCTCTTATTTGTTGTTTACGTTGTTTCTTTTTGAGCCTTAACATAATAATGCATTTGGTTGTACCTCTAATTGAGTTGTTGCATCTCTGCTTCTTTCTTCACATTTCCTTGGCACGTGGGTGTGTTTCCGTGTGATGATATGAATGCCTGCGTGTGTGTTGGTATATGTGGGCATGCATCAGTTTCTGCAGAGAATCTGGAGAAGAGCCTCAGGCAGATGGAGAGGCAGCTGCTGCAGCTGGAGAGAGACCTGGAGACTTTCTCCTCCCCTGATGACCCCGACGACATGTTCTTCACTAAAATGGCAATATCCTTTTGCAAACGCATGCAGGCGCTCACCGCTTGTGGGCATTATTCCAGAATGTATGCGTTTCTATTAAACACTGTGGTGCTGCGTCGACTGTCAGAAGAGCTACGTTTTCATATCTTCAAGAGCTTATTGGTAACACTCATGCATACGAATCATTTCAAAATATAAATCTACACTTCAAAACTAAACTTGTGCTGTGATGGAAAGTCTGAAGTCTTTGGCTGATGAAACACCCATTTGAGCAGATAACTTAACTTTTACATAATGAAATACCCAGGCGTCTTTCCTTAAGTTCTCCTTACCGTCATACTGGACTCTTTCCAAGACCTTTTTTCTTAGTTTACTCGTCTCCTCACAAAGGAAGATGTTCATCACTCTGTTTCATATACTGACTGTCGCGCACACACACACGCTTGTTTATTCCTACTGTCGATGATGTGCATAAGTCAAGAGTGGCCTCCCATTCCAGAATCCGGTTTTAGTACCAGTACCTCTCGGCTCTCTTTGAAGGGTAATTTTCACAGAGGGCAACTTCAAAATGAAAGGGAGCGAGGAACATCCTACGCTCTTCTGTCACTCTCTCTGCCTTTCACAGCGTCGGGGTTGTTTGTTCCCGGTGACGGGACAAGTTGAACTGGTTTGTGTCACTTGTCAGTTGATAATTAAGCAAAAGCCGTGATTCACAAAGTCAAATACGCTACTGCACAACATTGATGTTGACAGCTGTCCGCATCTGTCTGGCAGCAGTGTTAATTATTCACTGTACGTTGAGCTAGTTCCAGTGGGTCGGGTTGACAGGCGTGTCTCAGACCAGGAGTGTAAGTGTGTGTTCAATAATACACCCTGCACCCAGCCTCCTTTGTGTAGATTTGATCGATGGCCTTGGGGCCGAGGCACTGATGGCTTGCGCTGCAGTAGTTAGGAGTGAATTTGAGTGCCAAGCGGAAAGGTTCACTGAGAATGGATTTGACAGCTCTGTCTTTCATAACCTTGCGTTGCACCGCCAGGTGCCCCAAAAAATGAAGGATTTTTAGGAACTCTGAATTAAAAAACGCCATTGAATGTGAAAAGGACATCAGGAATCTTACTGTAACCCTCAAGTAAAAATGAAAACACTCGGTAACGAGGCTCTGATTCAAAGCCGTCTCATCAGGCCTTCTAATTGATCCAAATGTAGCAACTCATGCTGCTCAGATGTCATATTTACCCCCCCCAGTGCATTCATATGAGAACCTCACACTCCATGTTCAACACAAACCTCCACGCAGAACCTATACGGTTTTATTGTTGGCCTTATGAATAGTAATTTCCTGTGCCTACAACTTGGACAGTGCAAGGTTGTTTTATGCCCTTGAATTAACTCCATATTTGTATTTTATTGCAATTTATCCTTTTGACATTTCCATTTGGATTTTATCTGTTGCAAATAACGTTTTTGAAAGGAAAAAACAGCAATTGTTTTAAACAGTTAACTCCAATTATGAACTTGATTACTTTTTATTTCCCTATGCTGTAACTGTCAATTGCTATTCAAGAGGATAATCTGGCTCTTTAAAGTGAACCCATTTCCTCATCATCTCGCATTAGAGACTACGGACCATCACTGAACATAACCGTTAAATCTGTGAAGATTTTCAGTCTTTCAGGTCATAAGATATCAAAAAGTACCAGATCAACGGCAAAGAGATTAGCTCTTTTTATTCCTAAAGTTCCACTACTCATCACGAAGATCCATCTTTAAAGATGATACAGCTTCACCTGCAGCTAAGGTGCGCTGGCGACAGTCATTATTCCAACGAACAAAATCTGCAGTCACCAGCTCAGCGTGGAGGGTCACATTGGAGGCGTGGAAAATTCCATTATCACTTAATGCGCCACTTGAGTATACAGCTCGTGGTATTGGTCAAGCGTTACACTTCTGAGCTAAACTCTTAAAGTTTGCATATGAGAACAGGAGGGAGAGGAAAAAATGGAGAATGAGCAACTGAAAAATGGGAGACGAAAGTACGATGGAATAGATGCAGAGGTAAAGAGTAAAGGATCAGTCAGAAAGCGAGATTGAACAGAAAGTCCTGAGAATGAGCTGCACTGGGCCGCTGATTTCTCTGGAATGGGGGACGACTTTAGCTGAGGGGAAAACTGGATGAGGAGATTTTTTTTTTTGCGCCCCACGATACTTCTCAACCGTGGCCCTTGGCTAGTTATTCTTCACTCCCCCTGGCTTTCCATCACCTGCGCAGGCTTTCCTCATGCCTCTTTCCAGCAGCTCCTGGCTTGGAAGGATATTACTGACAAGTCAATCTGAGAGCACACTGCCTATTGAACAGCATTCACCCAGCTGTGAAAAGGTGGTCCCATCCACTGCCAGATTCAACTGAGGCCAGGCGTCAAATAGGTCCATCAGTCGAGCTGTGATGAAGGGGCATGGTGGGCGCCAGGGAGGATGCTACGTAACACACACACACACACGCTTGTGTCTTATTTACCATGAGACAAGGTTGTCGGGGTCATTAGTGAAACCAAGGACATGTTTTTGTTTATTTTTTTTATCGATTTCCACAGAAAGTTACTTAAATTGACTAACCCATTTGATCCTGTCTTGCATCAAATGCTTTGCTTTCAGTCAAACGGGTCCACTGTGTGAAAAACCCAGATAGGCTTTTAGAAATGGAAACAAACCTACAAAAAAACTTGTGTATGTGGGAAGATATTTTCTGAAGAGCAAATCCATGCTCGCTATTTCTAGAGTGTGTGTGTGTGTGTGTGTGTGTGTGTGGTAACCTAGAGTAGACGGTCTTAACATCATGGCCCGGTTGTGGGCAGCATGCGTGTTGGTGCTCTCTAGTTCCCACTCACTTTGCTCCAACACAGAGACCTCCCCGGCAGATGTTGACACCACCATAACCCGTTTGTCCTCATCCACGCAACTCTACACGGAGGAACATGGTACAGCGGCCCCTCGCCTCCCCAGGTTTAACCAGGAGGACCTTTTGGTTCCCGTCCCTGCTGTCGGTCTACTGTGCAGGCAATCATCCATTTTCTGCTCCAGTAGATCTGTGTGTGTTGCAGGCTGTATTATATATCCACATCTTTGAGGGCCTCGTCTCTACACGGTTCCTAGGACATTCTGAGGTGCATTAACATGTAATTACCTCACACATAACGTAGGGGTTTAAAAAGGCACATGTTGACATTAGGCACAGAACCAATGCCGAGAGCGTAAATTGACTTCCCGCAGTGTTTTTATTGACTGGGAAATGAGTGCAAAAAGAAGTGCTGAAAGCGTTTCAGTGGATTGTGACCTGATCGGCTGGGCTTTGAAACGACAGCGGCAGCCGGGAGTGCAGCAAAATCTGCTCTTAAGGGGATTTTGCTCTTTTTTTCTTCTCCGAGTAGAAGGCTTTCTTTTTTTGTCAGTTGATATATTTGCGTTTAATATTCTGCATTTTAAAATAAAACCAACAAACATTGCCGGCGGCTGAGTCGCAGATGCCATCGGCTGCACGGGGGTCAGAGCAGTGAGCGCACAGTGGTAGTAAACTGGATGAGGCCAACAGCACGGGTTACCACTGACAATCTGTTTTCCAGCCTCAAGTCCTCACTGACTCACGGGAACTCATCGGCTTCTCTGTGTGTGTGTGTGTGTGTGTGTGTGTATATGTATATATGTATATATATATATCCCACACTTCCTGTCAGAAATGTGTGTCCTGTGAAGGCGTTTGCGACCTTGACAACGGCCCCTCACAGCTTCAGCGAGGTTGCCAGGGAGCAGTACGGAAAGCTGGTGATCATGCACAGCAACATGGAGACCCTGTACCAGAACATGCTGGACTACTTTGCGGTTGACCCGAAGAAGACTTCCGTGGAAGAGCTGTTCACCGACCTCAGCAACTTCCGGGCCATGTTCTCTGTGAGTACACTGCACCCATAATTAATGCACATGATGTTCATCGGAGGTGTGTTCATTTGTCAGCTCTCAAGGGGATTAACTGAAATAGGGGCCTGTACAGATACATTAAGAAACGCAGGTCAAATGAAAATGTTTTGCAGTGCCCATTCAATTATTAGAAGTTCAGGGTGCATTTTCAGTTTTTCATCTTACAATATTTAAAAATATGGACGGGCTATGCTAGATCTATATTCATGACCATCACTGACTGAAGCCGACCCGAGACGGATTTTAAACTTTTACTCTTTTCTTTCTTGACTGCATTGAGACAGGTTTTTTTTTACGATTCTCACATCAGTGTCCCGTGGTGTTACACAAGGTACAACAGTGCCAGTCCTGTGTAGTCCAGTCTACCCCCGACATTTATGTCATCCCGGAGCTCTGTGGCCTTATCAGTCCGGCGCTACTGTGCGCTGTGGAGCCGTGGAGACCCACTGTGTCTAATCAGCAGGATTAGCCACACAGGCCACTGGGTGCAACAGATAATGGTAGCTAATTAGCCTAGTAAAGTTCCCTGCCCTACCCCCGACTTAACATCTACCCCACACACGGATGGCTTTCATTCCGGTCAGACTTTTTTTCCTCCACAGTGGTTGGTTATGCCTTAAATGTCCCTGTAATTCAGAGCTATGTGTGTAGGTTTTTGCATTTAGAATCCCATGTAGACATTATATTAATACGGTTTTAAATAGGTCTTTCCAGATGTGCTATATTACAGTAGTACAGTTGGTTAATATCTCATAGGATATCCATGTTTAAGATGAATGCTAACATTCATCTTAAACATAACAACAGCACCACATTAAAACTGGTCCAGATTCCACACGTTCTGTTTTCCTTGGGTTGAAGCACAGCACATTAATCAGCATTGCCCTCTTCCCTTCTTCTACGATCACATTCACATCCTGGCACTTCTAGTTGCCTCCTATGCTGATATGATACTAACATGAGACTAAAGGAACCTCCGGGTCGCCACAGGCTTCACATGCTCAGATGATTATGAAAACGGAAACAAGCGTTCCTGGATGCTTTGCTTTTCCTTTGAATCTTATTTTTTGCCATTTGCTACGGGTACCAGCAGTTCCCTTTTACTGTTCAATTTTTAGCCACAACCCGGTTCATCTCTGGCGGTGTTCTGATGCGAATCAGACCCAAACCGCAGAATCAGCCGTGCGTTTCTTTGATGCCGATTACATATAGAAGCAAATGTGTCGTGTTGCAGATGTGATGGTTTTCATTTTAGGTCCATGCTCCAGGCGCGAGTTCTGCCATAGCGATTCTGTTCTCACCGACCGTACGGGTTAATGACTGCCAGCGAGAGGTGAACAAGCAGGCTGATATAAAGACTAGCGTTATATGCTCAAAACTCCCAAGGTGGCTGTTTATTTCCCTCCGTTAAGTCAGCAATTTGTTCGGATAGAAACATCCCGCGGACGTAAGTTGTGCGAAGCCAAGGCCAGGTCAGTGAACGGAGGCCCACAGTAAATCTGTGTGGCCCTTTGCCCTTTGTGCCGAGGCCGGTGCTAATAGGTGCACGCTGTCTGCAGACCGCAGCCTGGAGCCGGCTGAGCCTTGAACCGTGGGCCCGTTGCCTGCGTGTGTGTGTGTGTGTGTGTGTGTCGGCGCATGTTTGTTTGTGCGCGTCTGTCATTTTGTGTCTTGATTTTTTTTTTTTTTATGTATTGGGGTTGCTTGGCTTTTTTTTCACACGCAGAGACTCACACACACATGTACGTACAGCATGCTCAGTCACCCGTAGGAAGGAGACCCAGGGCGAGGCCGCACATCTGACAGGAATCCAATTGAGCGTGTCTAATGGCGGGCATCCAGGAGAGGTGGAGGAGGAGGAGGGGGGGGGGGGGGGCAGACCTGCAGTGAGGAAGCGAGTGGAGGGCAATTTCCTCAGAGAGCTCGCTCTCCCTCTCTCGCTCGTCTTAGCGCCACGTTACAGTGACTGAATGCTTTGTCAGACAGCAAAGATCACATGACTCTTCATCACTTTACCTTTTTAGGGTCTTCACTACCTTCCTTTTCTTGTTATAGTTATCTATATGTTTCTGTTAGATCATTCTTACTCACAATATTTAATTAAATTTCAACAACAAAAACCTGTGCTCCAAAATGGTGATTTTAGAGGGCA